ACGTGAGCTCCAAAACAGTGATGCAAGGGAAGCATGAGGCTATCAGCTCGTTAAAGCCGGACAGGACCATAGCACCTGAAGTGGTTTATATATATGGTTGGGTGGTACCAGAGGCTGTTGTGAGATGTGGGGCGGAGAGGTGCCTGGCGCTGTGTAAGAGGTGGCCACTGTGTGTCCTGGTTAGTTTGCATACACCCTCCAACACGGTACATCACACCCATCTGCAGACTGCCAGTTTTTCCGCCCCCATCTAGCGTGGCCCTCCTACAAAGGATAAAAGGCAGATGGTGACTTTTGTGCATGCAGAGCAAGAGCCTTAGAATTGGAATTGGGAAAAGCGTTTCAATAACAATGTCAAAAAGCGCACCCGATGCGATTCGAACGCACGCAGGGAAACCCTACGGCCTTAGCAGGGCCGCGCCTTAACCACTCGGCCACAGGTGCATAAGAGACGCTCCCGGACGGGTTCGAACCGTCGACCTTGCGGTGGGCTGTTATGGAGAGATAACAGCCGCACGCTCTATCGACTGAGCTACAGGAGCATTGAGTGCATCGATCCTACCAGGGATCGAACCTGGAATCTCCGGTTCCGTAGACCGGCGCTTTATCCATTAAGCCATAGGACCTTTGCTGATGTCCATTGAGTAAGTCAATCTCTATATTAAATGCATAAGCCTGCCGTACAATCGCGAACCCCCCTCTTCTAGCGGGATTCGTACCGCTTAAGGCCTTGGGGGGAGTTTGCGGATATGCGCACTGTCAGCATGCTGTCCAGACGTTGGAGGAAAGCTTAGCAACACTAGCACACTAGTATCCTCCAGGAGGAAGGGGCGGACAAGAATAGGCTCCCAACGTATACAAGATACAGCCAATGAAAGTAACGTTAGTTCCTCTCACCCCGCTAGCGGATTGGCGATATATCTACATACATGCACCTACATATAAAACGGCTGCCAGGCACAACCACCAGAGAGCTGTATGTGTGGCAAGCAAAGTACATAGGGAGGTCAAAATGGGGGTGCGAGCCAGGATAGCGCCGCGTCGTGGTCGCCGCGGCCGGGGGTACCGTAAATCCTGATTGGTGATGAATTCGCGAACGAACAAGCTTTGCGTGCCGGCATGACTTCAGCACATTGCGGACCTAACGTTGGCGTGCCGACCAGTGTTGTGAGGTTGCTCATGTGTTGCAGACAAGCATGGTCGGCGGACCTGATGTCAGCGTGCGGCTCATGTTCGAAAGCAATAATCGGCATGGCGAACGTGTACGGCATGGCGTCTAACAGCTTCAAATTCAAATTTTGGGGCGCCTCCGGACGTTTTCCGCTATCGGTGACCTCTTGGGGCTGCCCTACGGCATGTTGGCATGTCCAAGGCATGAAAAGCCCTTGTTCTGTACCAACATATACAGGTAGAGCCTCGCTACCTGCGCACTACATGCACACACACACACACACAAAAACACATGTGCGCATGAGGGCGACGTCTCATGACCCGTGGGTCAGTGATCACCAAAAAAGCTATCATTTTCGGCGATCAGCAATCGGCGCTTTTCAGGAGATGCACCGACTTCACGACGGTGTTCAAAGGAGCCAGAGCGACGAGGGGGTAGTTGGGGAATGGAGAGCCCATTGCGAACCCATGCCGTACCGTGTCGCTAACCGACAGGGGTGGTCAGAGGAACCAGAGCGACGAGGGGGTGGTGAGGGGAGTGGGGAGCATGGAGGGGGTGGTCACGGTCACCAAACAGTTTGACGCTGATTTTGGAAAGTAACCAAGAAACTGCGAATGGCTCATTAATTCAGTTATAGCTTAGTCGAGATCACAATGCAAGATATTGCAACAAGAAGATTGGTGATACGCGGTGCCTGAAGCCATGCCGTACAAAGTCGCTGTACGACAGGGGTGGTCAGAGGAGCTTGAGCGGCGAGGGGGTGGTGGGGGGAGTGGGGAGCATGAAGGGGGGCGGGCGGGGGCGTGTCGAAACCCATGCCGTACTGCGTTGCCGTACACCTCACGGTGATGCAGGGGCGTTCAGAGGTGCTGGAGGGACGAGGGGGTGGTGAGGGGAGTGGGGAGCATGGAGGGGGGTGGGAGGGTGTGTCGAAACCCATGCCGTACTGCGTTGCCGTACACCTCACGGTGATGCAGGGGCGTTCAGGGGTGCTGGAGGGGCGAGGGGGTGGTGAGGGGAGTGGGGAGCATGGAGGGGGGTGGGAGGGCGTGTCGAAACCCATGCCGTACTGCGTTGCCGTACACCTCACGGTGATGCAGGGGCGTTCAGGGGTGCTGGAGGGGCGAGGGGGTGGTGAGGGGAGTGGGGAGCATGGAGGGGGGTGGGAGGGCGTGTCGAAACCCATGCCGTACTGCGTTGCCGTACACCTCACGGTGATGCAGGGGCGTTCAGGGGTGCTGGAGGGGCGAGGGGGTGGTGAGGGGAGTGGGGAGCATGGAGGGGGGTGGGAGGGCGTGTCGAAACCCATGCCGTACTGCGTTGCCGTACACCTCACGGTGATGCAGGGGCGTTCAGGGGTGCTGGAGGGGCGAGGGGGTGGTGAGGGGAGTGGGGAGCATGGAGGGGGGTGGGAGGGCGTGTCGAAACCCATGCCGTACTGCGTTGCCGTACACCTCACGGTGATGCAGGGGCGTTCAGGGGTGCTAGAGGGGCGAGGGGGTGGTGAGGGGAGTGGGGAGCATGGAGGGGGGTGGGAGGGCGTGTCGAAACCCATGCCGTACTGCGTTGCCGTACACCTCACGGTGATGCAGGGGCGTTCAGGGGTGCTGGAGGGGCGAGGGGGTGGTGAGGGGAGTGGTGAGCATGGAGGGGGGTGGGAGGGCGTGTCGAAACCCATACCGTACTGCGTTGCCGTACACCTCACGGTGATGCAGGGGCGTTCAGAGGTGCTGGAGGGGCGAGGGGGTGGTGAGGGGAGTGGGGAGCATGGAGGGGGTGGGAGGGCGTGTCGAAACCCGTGCCGTACTGCGTTGCCGTACACCTCACGGTGATGCAGGGGCGTTCAGGGGTGCTGGAGGGGCGAGGGGGAGGTGAGGGGAGTGGGGAGCATGGAGGGGGGTGGGAGGGCGTGTCGAAACCCGTGCCGTACTGCGTTGCCGTACTACAGTGTGTTGTCGTACTCGAGATCTCCCAAAACACCATCCCCATAGGCCCAGGCATCATCTCCAAGGGTGCCGAGGAAGTCGCGAAGAGGTCGCTACCCGGCTCGAACCGGAGACCTCTGTCTGGCTGAGGATAGGACTGAACGCTTAGCGCCTTAAGGTCGTTGCCACCCCTTTTGTGAACGGACGGACGGACGGACGGACGGACGGACGGACGGACGGACGGACAGACAGACGGAGATGATTTAATTGTGATCTGTCCTCCAATCCTCCCCTCCACTTCGTTACGGGGGGATTTACGGTCACAGACAGGGCACCAGATGGATTGGACAGAGTGCAAAGAATGGGTCAAACCAGAATGAGTAACCATGGACAGGAAATGCACAGTAATAAGGCGTGGTTACAGGACATGGATTATTCCGCGCATAGGGCTGATGTATGTCACTAGTGTATAGTTGAACGCTCATTGAAATGCTCCGTAGGCAAAGCAAACTGCTGCTGACTGGGGTGATCTAACACATTGGACATCCTACAGGCAGCACGCTTAGAGCCGTAAACAGCCCGCTGCATGCTACCTAAGTACCACTGTATGTATGTGTAGCTGGGCGTATACATAGAGTGGTACACAGCTGGCGTACAGTGTGCAATTTAACTAACACAAGGAACAAAACAAAACACTATCCCCGAGTACAGGGGTGTAGAGTCAGATTGGACGAACTGGAACCTACCTCCAGGCTACCAAAGGCCATGAGTTGAATCCAATGCTTCTGCAGCACATGTGTGTGCGCATAAGCTGGGGTAGCCATGTAGCCTGATGTCTAGCCATGTGGGAGTGGCGAGCCAACCTTTGCCCACCATCAGGAAGCCTTTTGGTGAAGCATTCCATCAAACTCTGAACCAAAACTCTATTGTGCCATTCCACTTCCTGGTGTTTTCAATGGGCTTTCCTTGGCATATTCTGAGCCATGCTTGTGTGTTTAAGAAAGCGTAGGCACATGAGCCACAAACACACAGTTTAGTTTCTGGGAAGCAAGTCCGGTCGCCCAAAGCCAAATGTCATAAATTTCCTCATATACAGAACCTGCTTAGTTACTATGCGCATTTCGTTCCATTGTTATTTCCTGGCCAAGCAAGCAAGGCCCCATGCTGATCTGAAAGTCAGCACCCAGACACTTTGTGGATTTTGCCAAAAGCTTAGTTACGTGATAATCAAGAACTCGCTATATATAGGCTTTCCAGGGGGCGCCTGTGTGAACATGCCCAGTCAAACCTTTCACCAGCTTCATGTTGCATTCCAGCCACCAACGTATGGCTGGACACTGGCCAAGTTGCAACCCATTATCATAGCTTGCCTTATGCCTACCCATGGATAGGCAAAAGCAGGGCTTCATCCACTACGCTGTCATATTGGCATGTGCCCATGTCAGTTGATCCAGGCAACACCAGAAATCGGAGTGCTAACACTCTGGGAAAACGGAGCGTTCGTATTTTGGGGAGAATTCGTAATCTAGGCCAAACCATTCGTATTCTAGGCCATGTGGGCTTTACGAATGGTGTTCACACAGACATGCACCTAACCCTCTCACTGGGTGTATTTAAGTCCTATATTGTGTTAAAATCCACGCCCCACCTAAAGTGCACACATGTGCACACACGCACTCTGACTCCCTGTTTTCCGTATTCCATCTGGCACGATTCGTAAAATTGGGACACCCGTCCGTATCCTGGCACTGGCCCATAATACGGAGTATCCCCAGCCGAGAACAGGTGTAATGCAGGTATACGACGTGCTGCAGGTATACGACTGCATGGCTCACACAGCTCGCATCTTCTGAGCATTTGAAACGGGTATTGGGTGCAATGTGCTGAACCGCCCCTTTCTTATCCCATGTTGTCCCGCAGGAGGAGCCGGATCTGGCGCTGATTAACTTGGATGTCTTTGGTGTCGAGCCGCCAGTGCAGCAGCGTGCGCCACGGGGTCGGCAGCGGGCGTCTGGTCTGGATGACGACCTCGGAGCCCGTGGTGGCAGGAAGAAGCAGCGGACCGGGGCTGCTAAGGTGGCGAAGAGCGGTCGTGGTGGTGGTAGCGGGAGGGGAGAAGTTGGCGGTGGAAGAGGGCGTGGGCGGGGCGGCAGGGGCGGGGGGAGGGTGGCGGCAGTGGTTGAGTCGGAAGAAGAGGAGGATGGGGGTGACGAGGAAATGGAGGACGACGAGGAGGCAAGCGGGGAGTCTACTGGGGAGGGGCAGGAGGATGACGTGAGTGTCCGGGATACATCGGATGACAGCAGCAGCAGCAGCGGCGGTGGAAGCAGTGGCAGCAGCGGCGAACGGGCGGGCGGAAACCGGCAGCAGGACCGTAGGCAGCAGGAACTAGAGCAGCAGCAGCAGCGGGGTAAGAAGCAGCAGGCAGCAGTTGGGGCGGCAAAGGTGCCCAAGGCAGGAACTGGGTCGAGTGGCCAGTCTCGGCGTGTGCGGGCTAACCGCTAGATAGAGGCAGACTGGGAGTAGGTTGTTTGCAATGGGCATAGAGTAGCTGTGAGTGGAAACATGGTTCGTAGATAGGTGATCCAAAGTTGGGTTGGGTTGGCTTCACGTGGTGTACCTTTTGTATTGGTTTGGCCGTGATTGCTTGGATGATTTATTATTATAAGCTTGGATGACTTGATAGCACAAACCTGATACCCATGACCATACTTCTTATCTACCTGCAATTTTTGACGTGCATGATCCTATTTCGTTGCAGGGGCGTTGGAGTAGTTTAGTTCAGGGACTGTAGGCAAGATGTTTGATATAGATAGGCAATGGAGTAGATATTGGACTATGGTAAGCTAGCTTATGGATTGCATTGGGGGCGTGGGGCTTCCAGGGGCGTGGTCCCTTCGTATAATGGTGGTGAGCATTCGTAAAAAGGAGGAAGGGACTAGGCTCATATGCAGCTTCTGACCATGTAACGAAATGGTGGAGTTCAAAATCATATGACGCATCTCCTACGATTGTCTAACAAGCTGCGTATCCTTACTGACAGGGCTCTGTATTCCCTCGTGGGCTATCCGTAAAATTTCGTATTCCATCCGTATAATAGTGCCGTATTCTTGCAGTCCCCATCCGTAAAATGAGAGTTGCTTCCGTATTCGAGGTACAGGGGGCATAGCATGCTACCGCCTGTTTGTGCTACACGTGCTCCGGACACTATGCGGAAGTGTTCACATTCACTCTAGTGCATGTAACCGTGGGACTCCTGCATTACAGGCAATTCGTAAACCTTTCCCCACCATTCGTATCCCTTTCCGTATTCTCTGTCCGCCTTTACGGAAGATACCCTTCCGTAAAATGGGGTCAAAATACGGAAAGGTAGACCCCCATTTTACGAATGGGTGGACCCTGGTTTTCCCAGAGTGTAAGGAAAGATCCCAGCAGGCAAAACCTGCACTAGGTGCACATAGTCCAATTAAAGCCCAACCCGCTCACTACTGGGCCTGCAAGTTACTGGACTGTATGTTGGCAACAGGCTGTAAGGAGCTGGGAAATACGTCTTTTGGTGCTGAAATAAAATCCAAACATGTAGTTGTAAAACCTTTATGCACAAGCACGAGCCTTAAGTATCATATACAGTGGCACTTATTTAGGCGTGAGCTTGCATTTGGAGTGCTCTCTCCCTTCTTGTTGCGTTGTGCTTGCCTTTCACCTTGGCTGCTTCGTCATTTTATGACTGGTTACCGCCCGCTGCTAAAGTGTAGCCAACACTAGGTTAGTTATCAGTGGCCCCTGCCATGTAGGGCATGGGTGTGTTACATATATGTATTCTATTCCTGCATACCCTCAGACTAAAACATACTGACAAGCACATGTTGTAAAGTTTGGCTGACCAATATTAGAGTCCTTAGAAGGCCTATTGTGACCGCTGGCGGCAGCAGCAGCACTTCTCACTGTAGGTGAACATGATCACTTGAAAACACGTGAGCTCCAAAACAGTGATGCAAGGGAAGCATGAGGCTATCAGCTCGTTAAAGCCGGACAGGACCATAGCACCTGAAGTGGTTTATATATATGGTTGGGTGGTACCAGAGGCTGTTGTGAGATGTGGGGCGGAGAGGTGCCTGGCGCTGTGTAAGAGGTGGCCACTGTGTGTCCTGGTTAGTTTGCATACACCCTCCAACACGGTACATCACACCCATCTGCAGACTGCCAGTTTTTCCGCCCCCATCTAGCGTGGCCCTCCTACAAAGGATAAAAGGCAGATGGTGACTTTTGTGCATGCAGAGCAAGAGCCTTAGAATTGGAATTGGGAAAAGCGTTTCAATAACAATGTCAAAAAGCGCACCCGATGCGATTCGAACGCACGCAGGGAAACCCTACGGCCTTAGCAGGGCCGCGCCTTAACCACTCGGCCACAGGTGCATAAGAGACGCTCCCGGACGGGTTCGAACCGTCGACCTTGCGGTGGGCTGTTATGGAGAGATAACAGCCGCACGCTCTACCGACTGAGCTACAGGAGCATTGAGTGCATCGATCCTACCAGGGATCGAACCTGGAATCTCCGGTTCCGTAGACCGGCGCTTTATCCATTAAGCCATAGGACCTTTGCTGATGTCCATTGAGTAAGTCAATCTCTATATTAAATGCATAAGCCTGCCGTACAATCGCGAACCCCCCTCTTCTAGCGGGATTCGTACCGCTTAAGGCCTTGGGGGGAGTTTGCGGATATGCGCACTGTCAGCATGCTGTCCAGACGTTGGAGGAAAGCTTAGCAACACTAGCACACTAGTATCCTCCAGGAGGAAGGGGCGGACGAGAATAGGCTCCCAACGTATACAAGATACAGCCAATGAAAGTAACGTTAGTTCCTCTCACCCCGCTAGCGGATTGGCGATATATCTACATACATGCACCTACATATAAAACGGCTGCCAGGCACAACCACCAGAGAGCTGTATGTGTGGCAAGCAAAGTACATAGGGAGGTCAAAATGGGGGTGCGAGCCAGGACAGACAGGGCACCAGATGGATTGGACAGAGTGCAAAGAATGGGTCAAACCAGAATGAGTAACCATGGACAGGAAATGCACAGTAATAAGGCGTGGTTACAGGACATGGATTATTCCGCGCATAGGGCTGATGTATGTCACTAGTGTATAGTTGAACGCTCATTGAAATGCTCCGTAGGCAAAGCAAACTGCTGCTGACTGGGGTGATCTAACACATTGGACATCCTACAGGCAGCACGCTTAGAGCCGTAAACAGCCCGCTGCATGCTACCTAAGTACCACTGTATGTATGTGTAGCTGGGCGTATACATAGAGTGGTACACAGCTGGCGTACAGTGTGCAATTTAACTAACACAAGGAACAAAACAAAACACTATCCCCGAGTACAGGGGTGTAGAGTCAGATTGGACGAACTGGAACCTACCTCCAGGCTACCAAAGGCCATGAGTTGAATCCAATGCTTCTGCAGCACATGTGTGTGCGCATAAGCTGGGGTAGCCATGTAGCCTGATGTCTAGCCATGTGGGAGTGGCGAGCCAACCTTTGCCCACCATCAGGAAGCCTTTTGGTGAAGCATTCCATCAAACTCTGAACCAAAACTCTATTGTGCCATTCCACTTCCTGGTGTTTTCAATGGGCTTTCCTTGACATATTCTGAGCCATGCTTGTGTGTTTAAGAAAGCGTAGGCACATGAGCCACAAACACACAGTTTAGTTTCTGGGAAGCAAGTCCGGTCGCCCAAAGCCAAATGTCATAAATTTCCTCATATACAGAACCTGCTTAGTTACTATGCGCATTTCGTTCCATTGTTTTTTCCTGGCCAAGCAAGCAAGGCCCCATGCTGATCTGAAAGTCAGCACCCAGACACTTTGTGGATTTTGCCAAAAGCTTAGTTACGTGATAATCAAGAACTCGCTATATATAGGCTTTCCAGGGGGCGCCTGTGTGAACATGCCCAGTCAAACCTTTCACCAGCTTCATGTTGCATTCCAGCCACCAACGTATGGCTGGACACTGGCCAAGTTGCAACCCATTATCATAGCTTGCCTTATGCCTACCCATGGATAGGCAAAAGCAGGGCTTCATCCACTACGCTGTCATATTGGCATGTGCCCATGTCAGTTGATCCAGGCAACACCAGAAATCGGAGTGCTAAGGAAAGATCCCAGCAGGCAAAACCTGCACTAGGTGCACATAGTCCAATTAAAGCCCAACCCGCTCACTACTGGGCCTGCAAGTTACTGGACTGTATGTTGGCAACAGGCTGTAAGGAGCTGGGAAATACGTCTTTTGGTGCTGAAATAAAATCCAAACATGTAGTTGTAAAACCTTTATGCACAAGCACGAGCCTTAAGTATCATATACAGTGGCACTTATTTAGGCGTGAGCTTGCATTTGGAGTGCTCTCTCCCTTCTTGTTGCGTTGTGCTTGCCTTTCACCTTGGCTGCTTCGTCATTTTATGACTGGTTACCGCCCGCTGCTAAAGTGTAGCCAACACTAGGTTAGTTATCAGTGGCCCCTGCCATGTAGGGCATGGGTGTGTTACATATATGTATTCTATTCCTGCATACCCTCAGACTAAAACATACTGACAAGCACATGTTGTAAAGTTTGGCTGACCAATATTAGAGTCCTTAGAAGGCCTATTGTGACCGCTGGCGGCAGCAGCAGCACTTCTCACTGTAGGTGAACATGATCACTTGAAAACACGTGAGCTCCAAAACAGTGATGCAAGGGAAGCATGAGGCTATCAGCTCGTTAAAGCCGGACAGGACCATAGCACCTGAAGTGGTTTATATATATGGTTGGGTGGTACCAGAGGCTGTTGTGAGATGTGGGGCGGAGAGGTGCCTGGCGCTGTGTAAGAGGTGGCCACTGTGTGTCCTGGTTAGTTTGCATACACCCTCCAACACGGTACATCACACCCATCTGCAGACTGCCAGTTTTTCCGCCCCCATCTAGCGTGGCCCTCCTACAAAGGATAAAAGGCAGATGGTGACTTTTGTGCATGCAGAGCAAGAGCCTTAGAATTGGAATTGGGAAAAGCGTTTCAATAACAATGTCAAAAAGCGCACCCGATGCGATTCGAACGCACGCAGGGAAACCCTACGGCCTTAGCAGGGCCGCGCCTTAACCACTCGGCCACAGGTGCATAAGAGACGCTCCCGGACGGGTTCGAACCGTCGACCTTGCGGTGGGCTGTGACCGTAAATCCCCCCGTAACGAAGTGGAGGGGAGGATTGGAGGACAGATCACCGCTAAAGTTCGTCTGTCTGTCTGTCCGTCCGTCTGTCTGTCCACAAAAGTGGTGGCAACGACCTTCAGGCGCTAAGCGTTCAGTCCTGTCCTCAGCCAGCCAGAGGTCTCCAGTTCGAGCCTGGTAGCGACCTCTTGGCGACTTCCTCGGCACCCTTGGAGATGATGCCTGGCCCTATGGGGATGGTGTTCTGGGAGATCTCGAGTACGACAACACACTGTACGGCAGCAAACTGTACGGCACGGTTGCCATGCTGTGTGGTGACACATCATGTGGTGTACGACATGTACGACAATGTACGACAGCTGTACGGCAGTGTACGACAGCGTACGACAACTGTCGTACGCTTGTACGGCATCTGTACGGCATGGGTCTTGACACGCCCTCCCACCCCCCCTCCGTGCTCCCCACTCCCCTCATCGCCCCCTTTTCACTCATCATGCCTGGCATCATCAGGATGGTGTCCTGAGATGTGGTGTCGTACGGCAACACAGTACGGCATGGGTTTCGACACGCTCTCCCACCCCCCTTCATGCTCCCCACTCCCCTCACCACCCCCTCATCACTCATCATGCCTGGCATCAACAGGATGGTGTCCTGAGGTGTGGTGCCGTACAGCAACGCAGTACGGCATGGGTTTCGACACGCCCTCCCACCCCCCTCCATGCTCCCCGCCCTCCTCACCACCCCCTCGTCCCTCCAGCACCTCTGAACGCCCCTGCATCACC